GAAGCGGTTCGCTTTCACACTGCAAAGTTTCTAATCAGACCAAAAGAGCTAAAACAAGTCACGTGCGAGTAAACTCTCCTCACATTGGTCAGAGTGTCAGGGTTTATTTTGGTTTGGTTTGGTGATTGACAGCATGTGTGCGGCGTGTCTGAGGATTGATGCGGTAGGGATGGGTGAGAAGGGTGCGCGACGATGCCTATTTGAAGACCGGGAGGAAGACGCGAGATCACTGGGAGATCATCACTCGTTTGCGGGCATCCGGAGACTCGCGAAACTTCCTGCCATACTCATAATTCTCTCTTCATATCGCCGTATGCCTATTACATATCCATAAAACACTGTGATATAACCGCACTCGGATCGGATCGCTTTCTCACTGCAATCGAACCGCTCCAGGGTTCGTTCCAATCGAGCCGAGACCACCTCATTCAAGCGATCTCGGAGCGATTACTTTGGCGCGGAACAGAGCGCGATTGCCCTGTTCACATATGCCAAACGAACCGCGCGAACTTGGCAAACGAGACAGGTGCCGAAACAAAAGTGTAGGTGTGAAAGCACCCTTTGTTAAAATTTAATTTCTGTATATTCAACTGGATTTTAATAGATGTTGTTCATCAATCGCTGTGGAGAACTGTAAATCTGACCTCTGCTCAACTTGGTTCCTCAAACTGTAAGACTCACTGAAAATAAGTAAATGTGTCACCCTCAGCAATACACAACACTAATAAAGCTGTTTGCCTTGGCATACAGCACTGATAAAATTAAATAAATCAATAATCCAAACTTCATGCTAGTGGAGAGGTTTGTTGGCCCTCCATCAAGATGGAATCAGACGGACATGCCCTCCAGGATCAGCTGCACGGATGGTTAAATGGCTGGTTGGGATGCAGACGGGCTCCGCTGCTGCTGGGTAACATATTCTGCGCTGCTTCTCAGGCCTGTTACCGCATTTCAATGACTGCAGCAATTACTGTGGATTAAGAGGAGCATGAGCGGGACAAATGTTTGTCATGCAACAGGAGTCTCTCTGAGTTGCATTCCAATTTGATGAGCGAGTGTGAATGTGTGTGCGCGTGTGTGTCTGCACTGCAGATCCAGTGTCAGCGTGTTGCTGCACCAGCTATGATTTGGTTCAATGCAGGGGGAAAAGGGGGAGGGGGACATCCAGGATTCGTCACTGCAGTTCAACCTGCTGCAATATGCAACTTCACAGCCCACTCCATTCATATTTATGCCTTATACAGCTACACTATCGTCTGATGCTGAATTGCAGATTTTCTGTACCGTTGAGCAACAGCTACCCAACATGTTGCAACTTTGGGCCATTCAAATGCAGCAGATGGAGAACATTATATCTGCAGGACGATTGCAAACTTTGTAAAGGCGAAGCTAAAATGCAGATTCCTCCAGAAATGAGGGACTTGAGCGCATATGCTTTACTGGTGGTTATTTTTACACCACCACGCCCACACTTATCCTTCTGTTAAAGGCAATGAGCTCAGCCCATGTAAAATTAGCAGCCAGTCACTTGTTCACACACCGAGATGAGCAGAAACACTGCGTGAAGGCAACACTAATGATGCATTACATGCAAAGTAATGATATGCACATAAGAGACAGTGTTATGAGCAGACACCACGCGTGCGGAGCATTTCATTACACATTTGCATCCTCCTAGAAGACTTTTTGACAAAATAGCTTGTTTGCATTGAAGAATGTGTAACGTTAACAAACCTAATACAGAAACTGGTGCGCATGTGATTGACAGCCTTCAGTTTGCGCGAGAGCAATAGCGTGAACGAGCTAAAATGCAATGTTATCAATTTCTAAATTAATTTTAGGTTAATTGATAGCGAATAATACATGATTTTATCTCACGCATGTTGCTGTTTTACAGTTACATATGGCAGCGCTAACAGGCTAATTAACGCGATGTCTAAAATAAACATTGATAATTTTAAACTTTCACTAAAGAAACACACGCTATGAATACGTTTTACAGCTTAAAATGAACAGAGGCGATCCTTAATGAGTAGTACAATCATTCCTAGCTGTCAAACTGTCTGACAAGATGCTAAAGCGGCTAAACCGTTAGCTAGGAATAAAAACGGAGATAAAAGCCAGGTTGTACTCACCATTATTAAACAAAGCCCGGTTGATAAATGTTAGTAAAATCAGGAGAAAGAAGCTGTTTGTGTTTTAAAGGTTGACGTATATACGCAGGGTCTGCTCCTCTGTGTGTTTGTGTGTGCATGTGAGTGAGTGAGCCGCAGATTGAGGTGTAGCTGCGCTCTGGCCTCATTTACACTCTGTATCCCTCCGCGCCTGCTCATCTCATTACCGCACACATGCAGGATGTGTGAATGTGATGATGCCACGTACTGATTCTCAGGTTTATTTTCTATTTTGATAATGCTACCAAATTTAAAATTTAATTTTATGAAGGTGCTGTTTTTTAACATTTTAAAGGCATATTATGTAATATATCCATTTAAAATATCCCAAAACCAAGAAGATTGCTGAATTATCTACTATCTTAAATGTTTTAAAGAATGATCAAATCCAAGGAAATATGCTATCTTAAGTAGTGACATGGACCTTGTCATTTTGCACATCACTATTAATTTCGGGTTTGATTTTAGCTAGAAAATGCCCCAGATAGCATACAGTTCTGGGCCACATCTGGGCCAACTAAGGCACATATGGCTCACTTCTGGCAATGGCAGGAGACATATGGGCCACATCTGGCCCATATGTGTCACACCGGGTGTAGTGTGAGTTGTGGCCTGCTGTATGTGGGCCAGATGTGGCCCGTGTGTGACACCCCGGGTGTAGTGTGAGTTGTGGCCTGCCGTATGTGGGCCAGATGTGGCCCGTGTGTGACACACCGGGTGTAGTGTGAGTTGTGGCCTGCTGTATGTGGGCCAGATGTGGCCCGTGTGTGACACATCGGGTGTAGTGCGTGTTGTGTATTTTTAGTTCCGGTTTAACTATAAATGAACGGGAGCCTTTGAAGTGGTTACAAATTATTAGAAATTGAAAATCAAAGTTAATTTGTCTTTCTAAGTCTGTACACTTTCGTTTTATGAAGTAGAAAATAGAAAATAAATATTGTAAATTAATGTAATGTGATGGAAGGATTTACATTTTTCCGATCGGCTACTTCTGCCTGTGGACTGCATACCTCATAAGTGGGAGGGGCTTGCTGCTCAAACATTACACAGACTCTGATGTGAAGCAGCAGCAGTTCTGTGTTTCCTGTGTTTTATTAACATTATTGTCCCTCATCAGGCAGTGAGAGCGCTACACCTTCTCTGAAAATAATAACATTGCATGTTCTAAATAAGACTTTCTGAGATTGAAAATGATTCTTTAGGTTATTAAGAATAGGAATAAGCTATTGCTTATCCGGGAAAGTATATGTTTGTAACCTTATCACATATTAATTCAGTTTATTTTCTCAATAATGGATTTTTTTTTCTTTAAGGCTGCTATGAATATAAATTTATATTATCTGTTATATGTAAATGTTCCAGCATGAGTAAAATTCATATTTTTTTTTCATATTACCTGGTATGTCTATAAATGTCTATAAATGCAATGAGTTTCATCATTTATTATGTTTTGATCTATTAATGTTTTGTTCAGTTTCTCCATTTGAATGAATTAAGACAGTGTTCTACCGCCACCTACTGGGTGGATTTAATTTGCTATTAGTACTACTTTTTAATGAACAATTTTACAAATGAATTCATAATCTAATAATGCTGAATTAAAGTGCTGTTTTCTTGATGTTATTTTTTTGCAATTCTACATTTTTACAATGATTTTGTTTGATTAAATGCCACATACAACATTGTTCTTTTTTATTTAATTTGAATATTAAATAGACATAAATGTTTTGTTTATGAATAAAATAACTATATAGAAAAAATGTCAGAGAACTGAGCAGTAGAATGTGAATAACATGAATGTGTTCGTGAATAAGCTGATCTTTGTAAACAACACAAAGTTTTATTTACTTATTCTACAGAACACAAAAAATAATAAAAATAAATCTGACCAATTTTAATGCGCACACCTAACCCCGCTCCTAACCCTACCCCTCACTTTGATGTCACTAGCTCTATTTGAGTGCATTGTTTCTGACATTGCATGTCAAACTGTGTGTCTCAGCTTGCATATCCAAGTCTGCAATCAGATACTAATGCTTCTGCAACACAGCCCTGAGGATACAATCCTCAGTGCTGGGAAACACCACACATTATCTTAATCACAAACTACAGCAAATTTAGTTTATCCAAAATTCACTTATACTGCAAATGTTCGCACTATGGAAGAAACTGGAAACCAACAGAAACAACATGCAAACTCCACATAGAAAGGCCCAAAAGTCTATCCTTGTTCTGTGTGTGTGTGCACCTGTAACAGCGTCAACAAATTTTATAGACAATATGCTATTAATAAGCATGTTAATTAGCAATTAGTTAATTTTAAATATATCTTAAAGTGTTATAGTTTTTATATAACAAGCTACTGAATAATAAAAATAACAGTAAATATTGTAGAATTACAGCATGTTACATAACAGACCAAGGACATGTTCACAGTGTGTCTGATAATATTTTTTCTTCTGGAGAAAGTCTTCGACTAGAATAAAAGCAGTTTTTAATTTTTTTAAAAGAGTGTTTTAAGGTCAAAATTATTAACCGACAGTTTCAGAACAAATCA